CCCCAATTGGAAATATTTTATTTCCCTCAAATTCAACAAGGTTAGGTCAAACACAAAGAGTACGTTCTGAGGAAAACACAAATGAGCCACGTAATTATGTCCCATTTTACACCTGGATTTATTGAGACACATACTATAAAACAGTATTAAAGGAGCTGGATAACAACAGTATTTTCATTGCTATAAGTTCAACAGTACAATATAAATACAAAAACACGCACAGAATGTCTGTCGACAAGCTACAATTCAAATAGAAAATAAAGGAGATACAGTAGAAACTGAGGAAATGAAATCAGTGATGTTGCTCTGCAAAAATAATCTGCTTTTTTGACAAACTCGAGAGCCAAAGGTTACATGTAAATCACACAACAGAAACATTCAACTAGTGCAAAAAAGCTTCTAACATAATCATCTTAAACTACACATTATCTAATATATAATATATATTCATTTATTTATATATACTTTCATATAAATAACCCCTTAATTTGGCATTTTATCATTCATAAAATAATTTAAACATCCTAACAGACACTGAGTGGCACATTTGAAAGCGATGGAATAAAATTTAAAAGCACTTTTACTCATTTAACTCTACACTAGATATGTGGTGAGAGCTTTATATCGTGTTGTGTGGTGCATTATAAGGGCAGACTGGAAAACAAGAAAAGAAAGAGAACAAACTCCAAAAAACAAAACAAAACAATAGTTGATCATTTTTCCCTCACCCAGCAGACCCACTCAATCCCCAAGCCCTTAAATGGCAGAACACAACTGGTCCAAAAGTAAATTAAACTACATACATTCCAGTATATACAAGAATATCCCGTCTACCCTTTACATATAACACAGCAGAATAAAACAGGGAAAAAAAACAAACAAAACTTTAAAAAAAAAAGGCCAAAATACCCATAGGTGCCTTTATCCTTAATGTTTTTATATCATTACATGACTTTTTTGTCAGTTTAGTCAATGTTAGTGTTACATTAGAACAGTACTGCACATCACACTTTTAATTCTCTGCAGAGGCATCCTGGCACAGTACCACCACCTCCAACATCACCTCTGTAACATCGTTAGGAAGGGAACCTGCTGTAGACAGGAGTGAACACCAGAGACTTTTACGAATCTGTTATTCGGTCCACCCTCCTATAGCCAGAGCAGGACAGGGAAACTGCGAGGTTTACAAGCTGAGGGTGCTCAGGTGCAGTCAAGAATCTATAAAGGGAGCACTAGCATTCAACAATGCTGTAATAATGACAAGACAAAGAGACGCCTGCCAGCCAAAGTCAGATAGAGGAACGGGCGACAGCATGTGTGGAATACCGTTTACTGTTACAGCTATGAGGGAATTATCTTGTTTGCATAGTGTACGTAGTGGTTTTGGCCTTAAACTCAGAGTACCAAAAGTATTGCAGTTTAAACTGTACTCATGGAAACGAGTAAAATACATGTAAATGTAATTTCCAAGTGCAAAAGAAGCACAGCTATTAAATCATCTCATGAGTACCTAAAATTAAAGTAAGTGAAACAAAAAAATTTGAGGGATTAGCATGTATTCCCTGTGATCCCTTTATAGTATTCTGACTCAGCGTGACAATAAACCTTTTTTATAGTCATCAAAAAGTCAATAACACGTCTTTGTGATAAGGTGGAGGATTGTGTGACATGGAGGGAGAAAGGGGGGTGGGTGTTGCCACTCTTAATACAATAATTTTATTTTTTTAAAAATACATTCTTACTGAAAACAGAAAGCCTACAGTAGTGCACCGCTACATGTTCCGTGTTTTTGTTACTTTTTCTTCTCTTTTTCTTTTTTTTTCTCTTTTTTAACTTTTTTTGACAGCCTATCAGATACAAAGTGCTCAGGACACGACTGGTGTAGCATACAGTGTATTTCTCATACAGTTGATTCATTTGTGCTGAAATGACATTAAATCTTATACATACTCTTCATCCCTCTGTGTCTGCAGCGGTTCATTGGATACTGCTTTTTTTTTCTTTTCTCAAAAATGGTCAAATTGGGAACAGAGCCTGTTTATGTGACCTGTCATGAGCCTGTGTGTGTGTGTGAGGAATTTGGTGTGTGTGTGCTTGTACTAAGTACTGCTAATAGCTGAAGAGAACATACGATGTGATGGCAACAGAGAATTTAGATACACTAGAGGAGACGACGTATTTTCCTGTGTGTTCTCCGAGGTAACGTTTCCTGTCTCGATAAGTGGTTAATCCCCCCTGACAAATGGTGATAAGCACCAATGGCTCAGTGGTATAAAGATAGTGGTTGGAGAGCACACGATGCATGGCTGAGTGAACAGAGCAAAAGAAGAGGTGTAGGGCCGGGACTGCTGTGTGTCTGCGCGAACATAAATAAAACACAAAGTGATGTAGGAAGGTTTTCATCTCTGGACTGTAGAGGGCTTTCTGTGGAGTGTTTTCTGCACCTTCTTGTGTGTTTGAGTGTACAAGTGTGAATGTGTCTTCCCAGTCTCAGCCGCTCACACCACTGTGGCAGGTCTGCGGTCCATCTCCTCCTCCAACTTCACCATCTGCTGCATGTCCTTCGTCTTGGAAGAGATGGAAGACAGTTAAGACAGGCAGACACAGACATCTTCTTTTAATGTGTGCAAGTGGACGATTTTGTAGTGGATTTGTACAACTTTTGTGATCAATTTTTAGTAAACAATTTCTCAGTATAAGCTTCAGATTTCAGGATTCTGTTGGGTGTATCTCTGAATTGCTTGGCAGGTAATAAAGCCACATGCTTAGTTGGAGTAATTGTTGCCTCAGTGGGATACAGTGACATACTATGAAAGTAAATGATTATGAGCTGGAGTAGAAGCACAGAGGAGCAGGTTGTGAGCTGGCTGTTTTTGCTTAGTAATAGCTGGTGAGTCATGGTGATAAATGACTTGAGCTGCTAGTTGGCACTCCTGACAGCGCGAGAGCTGCAGACTAAAAATGTGGGAGTGGAATTTCATCATACAGAGGAAAGAAACACTTTCTATTTCAAACTGTGCAAATCTCTTCAAAGACAGGCCTGTCGTGTACTATTCCCCTGCTGTACTCAGGGCTGAGTCACTTAAGTAGATCATTATAGCAATCATTTAGATAGCAGAACAGTCAAGACTTAAACAGGCTCGGCGAAAAAGTGAGGCAATGAAAATGTGACTAAGAGGTAGGAGGAAAAGACGTGAAAGGAAACATGACCACTGAATGATGCAGCGACAGAAAGGTGATGTCAGAGGTAGAGATGAGGGGAGATGGCGATGCCTACCTTGAACCTGTTTGTTTGCATGGTGTGATTTCAAAAGCTGTGCCGGAAGAAGCAAATCAAATTAAAAGAAAGGAAAATGTGCATACATGTGAAACATGTACAGGTACTATGACAGATGGTAAAATAAAATGCAAAAATGGGGACATGATGATGTAAACCGTACTTTCTTCTATTTGTAATGTCGGGGGAAAAAGACACTGATATTATAATCTGGCTTTTTTGTTTGTTTCATTTCAGCGGTTTTGTTTATCTTTAGTAATTCAGGGCAATTCTGATCCTAACTTTGGGGAAAAATTCTTGCATAAATAATAATTATATCACAAGCAATAACAACAGCAGTCGATATGTCAGTGAAGGAAGTACAGTTGTGTTTAGAAGTTTACAAACCCTCATCATGAGCATTAAAAGTATTTGTTTGACAGCACTCACTGGATTTACCAATATGCAGAACAATGGGAAAGTCCAGTGAACTCAGTAAAGATCTAAGAAAGAAATCTGCAGATTCACACTAGTTAGGAAAGTCCCTCTGAG